CCCGGGCAGCGTTTATCGCGAATAATTCGCCGCGATTGTTTCGAAACGATCGCGATAAACGCGACGAGAGGTTCGCCCGTGAAGAAGCTGTAAAGGCGAGCGATCGTTTCCCGTAATCGGGGATTCTGCTCGGTAGGTTTCCGCTGAAAAAGCGCGCACCCAATAAAATCGGAACGTATCGAATCGAACGTTTCACCGAGGACAGCCTTAGATTCTGTTTTCGAGCGATAAATTCGTTACGCCCTCGTGAAAGGTATTAGCCGCGATCGCGTTTCGTGAAAAAAAAGGAGAAAAAAAAAGATGACGGAATGCTCGGAGGCTTTCAGAGACGAGCGAAAGGGGGGAAACGCTGCGGCAACGGACGCGTTCGGGTTCGACGGTAGAGAGACTAACGTTATTCTGTCATGGAGCTGCGCAGTTAAAATGTTTAAATACCCTCTTTTTCGGTCTGGCTCAGCGAAAACGAAGTTCGTTTTATGAAATTAAAAGCGGGACGGAGGAACGCGGAAAAAGTCGAGGCAAATGTCGTCTTGACTCGATTTCGCAAATTCAATTTCGCGGGGAAGCGGGCCGAGAGCCGCGACTGGAAATCGGACGCGGAAACCCCGGGAAAAAATACTTTCGTTCTCGTCCCGGGGAGGTTTCCGCGACGATTACGAGTAAACGGGCCGATTTGTCCGCGCTAAGCAAGAAACACGTTCTCGTTCCTCGAGGGACCGCACGAAACACCGAAATTCGAGTATTTACACGATGAAAGTTGAATGTTACCAATGAGTTCAGCAGTCCCTGCTGTACAAAATGATTTTCATTTCAAAAAACGATTTAGTACAAGTAAATTCTGTTTTTCCATTTGTATAACTTCGGCATCGAACCGCAGAATATTCATTGTCACTGAGAAAACTTCGTAACATCGACATAATGCAAACAAAATATAACCGCCATATGTTTAGCTCTATACTTTACAACTTTCGTCTGAATTCGGCGTTTTTCAGTGAGATCAACTTAGAAAAATTAGAAAAACTCAGATATCAATGTAATATATTTTAAGTAGATAATCAATTCGTATCAAATTTAATATTTTTTTCAATGCTGTGGTAATTAGCAGAGTTGCATAGCTGAGTGTCTTTATATAAAACCTAGATTTCTCGTTACCAGTAATGCGTTAACGACTAACAAAATTGACCTACTCCTGATTCCTCCTTTGCGCAATGATTAAAAGGATAACAGCTGTTTCCCTGTGAGATTCTTCAAGAAATTGATTTAACCGAGCTCAAACTGAATCGTAAATCAATGAAAGTCTCAATAGACCGACTTTTCGAGTTTCTCCAAGAGGAATTTCCAAAAGTCAATCCAACTGCTCGGTAGTTTGTGTTAAATCACTGAGTTTTGTCCAGAAAACGGGCTGCGGCCCGAAGGGAATTTCGACGCACGTCCATTCCTTTCGCAGGAGTAACGGAGTCTATTATTTGATTCAACGGCTAAGCTCTCCCGATTGATTTGACGGTATACGCCGGGGATCCCGCGTGATCCCAACCAAAGGATCCGACGATCCAGCTTAGCGAACTAATTTCTCCGATAGACTATAAATCACCGGACATCGAATCCGTCTTTTTCCAATCTACCCGGCGACGTTTCCCCGGCTCGAAATGATTCCTGGAGAGTCCTTTCTTCTCGTTACGAATCAACGTCGACATTCTTCGGAAGTCGTTTCTTCTGCGCGGTGACCTTTCCCCTCGCTTTCTCGAGCGTCGCGGCCCTTAAGCTCCGTTGCGTCTACGCGGGAGAATAAGCTGATCCTTCCCCCCGAAGTCTACGCAAAGTTCGATACTCGGAAGCTACGATTCCTTTTTTTCCACGAAGTAATCCGACGGGGAGCGGGAGGTCCTTTAGTACCGGTCTTTGCAGTATATAAGGACCTTAATAGGTCGGCCAGTGTCTTGCAGAAGCAAGTCACGAACGGAGCCAATTATCGGCGAAGCTAATGAAGCTATTCCTTCCGAAAAGAAACGAACGAAGAAGAGTCGTCGGAATCCGTCGGTCCCGGCTCCTTCGATATCCCCGGCTTCCTCTCATCGATCCTCTTCGTTCGAACTTCTCCTCGTTTGTTCTTCGACTCTTTCGCGTTTAAATTCACGGCCGGAAGAAAAAGCGTCGTCGCTCGGGAGGAGACGTCCAACGTGCACGGCACGCGGATTCCGTCGCCGCCGACTTTTCCTCCGTTGAACGCTCATCTCGATTTACACTTGTTGATTTGCAATTCCTGGAAACGTTCGACTCATCCTCGAGAACCGTTCCGAACTAGCGTTCGTTCGCGATAGAGCGCGAGTTTCATCGAAATTCGAGTTTATCACGCGACAGTTTATCTTACGCGGAAGATTTCATCCCACGTCGATACATTCCCGATATTCTGAGGGAGAAACAGCTACAATCGGTATTCACTCGCGTCAACGAACGGCGAAAGCGCGAGCAGGTGTTGAGGGTGAAATTATTACGCGACTAACGCGAGTCGTCGCGATAAACTTTACAACCAAACAGATATCGCGGCGGCGAAGCGGGTATCGGTGGTTTAATCGTACGCGTAACGAGACGGCGACATGAAAGGGAGCCGCGTTATTATTCCGACGACGTAATTATACGAACAAGCAAGGAGGCGTATCGAGCGTATTCAAGGGAATACGCCGGGAGGGCGCTCCGTCGCGAACGGGGGCATCTTCCGGAGACGCGAACGCAGCGAGACGAGGCGACGTCACGAGCGGAAGCGGCACCGAACGTATGCGCCGAAACTATCCGACAAAACGATCTATTAATTTCGAGGAAATTCCTGCCGGAAGGTCGCGGCACGGTTGCTCCGGCGTAATCATCGTTTCGTACCGGGGAATTTTACGGCGCCGGCGTTCCCGTTTGTTACCGCCGCGGATTAGCTTCCGCGAGACGCGCCGCGATAATCCGAGCTCGATCAAACGAACGGCGGATATCTCGTTAAAAGCGGGACAAAATGATCGCGTTACTTTGACGAGCGCGGACCAACGCAATCGGATGGAAGACCGTACACCGAGCGGTGTTCATCCGCGTCCGAACCCCGTGAATCGTCCGCTTTAAAGTATCGATCGAATAAAACTCGCCGCGGCCGTTCGACGATCGGTTTCCGATTCGGCCGTGACGTTATCGCGATTATTGTCCGCGATAATTATTAGGTAATCAGCCTGGAGGTTCGTGGCACCGTTCTCGTCGCGTCGCTACGCCGGTTTCATCGCGTCGCCCGTAACCTGCGCGTACGGCCGAATAAAGGACGCCGGAGACTTCGCGGCCAATATCCGAGCGCGTACGCTGGAACAGGATTTTCCGGGCTTCCCCGTGACCGGCGGACACACACTTCGCGGAAATCTCGAGCGGTAAATTGCGCCGGAAAGAAATAGTTCAGATTGAAACCGAGCGGGTGTCTTCCGGTTTAAGCGACCGCGGTTGTTCCGCGAAAACGAGCGAACCTGAAGATGTTGCCGCGTTCGCGACTTACGAGCTCCATTAACGACGGACAATTGAACAATCGCGTGACGCGAACAATGACGATAATAGGTAACAAGCAGAAGTTTGCTCGCGATGAAAGCGCGGCAGGTAATCGAGCAATGATAGCGATGAGAGGGAGCTCTCAGGGATTAAGGGGACATTTCCGTGAAGAAACTCGAGCTGCCGCGAAATTGCACGTTCGTTAACGCAGCGCCGACCACGCGATCGGGCGCTTTTCAAATTGAAGCTGCCGGGAAGCATGGGAGACCCTTTCAACGATAGATAATGATTCGATATCGATTATTCCGTGTTTCATTGATTAACTATTAACGATTCCCGTCGAAGATTCAACGAATAATAAAATAGACAGTAGAGAAGTGTAGTTTGCACTCGACTCGGTCACCACTTGATTTGATACGGCTGAACTATGAAGTTGAATATTCAATGTTTTAAATGAAACTTTGTACTGATATGCGAAATATTCAAATAAAACAGCTTCGTTGTTTAAATTATCTGTGAATTATTAAATTAGTTTCAAACAGTTTCGTCTGTACCGTCGGAAACTATTGAATGTTTCCAGGGAAAAACTTTCGAGTGCAAAGTGTTGACCCTTTACACTCGAAAGTTTCTCACTAGAAATATTTAACATTTTTCGACGAGGCGAAAACGATATTCTTTGAAATTAACCCTTCGCGGACGAAGATTCTTTGAAATGTACAAAACCTTTGGCAGACGAAGTTAAATTATATATCGATTGCTCGATTGATGGGAAAACAGGAAACTACTGTGCTAATTTCTTGCTGTTTCACTAATTAAATCATTTGTTCGCGACTTAGTCTTCCAAATATGAACATCTGATCTCGCCTGGATGTCGACGTTCGTCCGCAAAGGGTTAACTCAAAGGGAAATCACAAGTGCATTGAGGAACACATCTATTTTATCCCAATATTTCACGTATTGAGTCATCAAACCAAGTTCAACATTAACACTAGAACTACCAGACGGTTCAAAATGACCCATTCCTGATTTCTTCATTTCGCAATTACCAAAAAGACATGTTTCTCTGAGAAATTATTAAAGAAATTGATTTAGCAGTACACGAACTGAATTATACACCAATTCTCAATAAATGCACTCTTGAACTGCATAGAGGAATTTCAAAAAGTCGAATCAACTGCTCGGTAGTTTTAGTGCTAACCCTTTGCATTCGGAAGTACTTCCTTAGAAATATTTCAAATTTCCTACCTAGACACAGACGATATTGTTTTAAATTAACTCAAAGAGAAATCGCAAGTGAATTGAGAAACAAAGCTTTTTAATATCTCACACACCGATGCATTACACACAGTTCAATATTGAATATCAAATTTTATAATTTTACTGAATCTAATCAAGTGGTGACTGAGTCACCTCTCGAGTGCGAAGGGTTAAATATCAGACTTCCTAGTACCACCGCGAGCGCAAGGTGTCAACTATGAAAAGATTCGATCGCTTACCAACCACGGTGAGCTGTACAAAATGTCCGACGGGCGGCGTGGTGGATATCTGGCATTCGTAGATACCGGAGTCTCTTTTCTGGGGGTACCGTATCCTCAGTATCCATTCCTCGGAGTGCGGCGTGTGCACCGCCTGGAAACGCTGATCGCTCGTGTACGTGTAGCGTCCGCTGGTCAGCAAATGGATGTCCCTGTGCCTCACCCACGACACCTGCGATCAAAGCGACGGGGACCGCTTGAAAATATTATTCCGCGAGCCGTTAGCGGCGGACGCGAACGACCGTGCAGGGCTCCGCCATAAAAGAGCTTAAAACCGGGCGCGAGCGGAGGAAAATATAATTGAAAAATGTCCCGCCGGCACGTTCCAACGATCGACCGGCCTAATCGTTGTACGGGCTGTTTTTAAACCGGTCGATACCGCCGGCCAGCTATTTTTAGTGGAGAAGATAACGGCCGGGTATCGTACCGAACATAAACGAGTAAACTGCGGGCGTGACCGTGTCCCTATCCGCTGTGTCCATTTTTAAGGGTTGCCCGGACCAACCTGACCCGAGCCGAGCTCGCTGCCGCGCGCGCGGAAAAGGTAGGTCAGACCGCACTCCGGGGATTAATCGACCCCCTAAAACACAAAAATGATTAGACGCTCGACGATCCGGCGAACCGCGCGCGTCGACCGCTATTTTTCTATGGTGTTATCCCGCGATATCGTAAACATCGCGGCGTACTCGCAAAAATGCACCCCGACACGCGCGTGTCCCCATTTTTCCACGTTGAAAAGCGCACCGCTGTCGCGCGCAGCTTTACTTAACCGCGGTATCGATAACAATACAACGTCGCGTCAGAAATAGCGACGAAACAGCGAGTATCCTCAGGCGTAGAAACACCGTATCGCCAGCAAGCCGAAATAATTCCTTCCAAGGCGAAGTTCATCCGTCGTCGAATAAAAATACCAGTTTCGAACTTCGTTCCGAGGATCTTTCCTCGGCCGCGAGAGAGAACCGTGTCGGCGTCGCGCCGTAGCCGCGGATAATGCACCGCGCGAAGCACGTTGCATTATGTTCCGCTGAACGCGCTCGCGTCGGCTTATTACCGCTCGCACTTCGTTCTTTACAGCATTGGACCGTAGAACTTTAGCGCTCATTCCTTTTTCCCCCTTATTGTTCGCCGTTACGGCGTCATCGCTCACCGTGAAACCGTTAAGCCAGCACGTGGCCCGAGCCTCCACCGGCGCGATACGGCTCCTCGCCGAATCGTTTTACCCGCTATCAACGTCGACGCGCGTTCGTTGACGCCTCGCGTGACTGAACAGTGTCAAGACACCGGGTCGATGCACGTGCGTGCGTATTCGCCGGTGTTCCCGGTTGTTTACCACTTAATTCGCGCGGAAAACACGCGCCCGCCGAGGCGGACGGTTCCGCACGCGCGTTAAGTAATTTCTGGTGTTTTCGTTAAAATTTCAAATGGACTCCGCCGGGGCGACATATCGCCGGCGTCCAGTTAATTTCTCATTTCTCGCCCCGGCAATTGCCGCGGTACGCAAACGCGGCCCGGTTTCCAGCTCGGACGTGGCCGTTTTAAAGCGAATCCCCGGGCTTCGCCGCTCTCAACTTCGAAAATTCCGTTCCAGCGATCACTCGTCTCGCGGCCGACGGCGACGACGCTCGCGCGCAAGATATTTCAGCGTGACCGGTCGCCCCGGCTCGTCCGGACGGACCCGTAATTGTCCGGCGTAACGATGACGAGTGGCGGTCGATCGCGACGATCCCGAGACGAGCGTCCATTCGAGCGGGGATAAGCGAATTGGCGAAGTTCCAACGAGAGGCGTGCGAAACGGCATAAGGCGGGTTCGGCTGATACCGGCAACTTCTCGGGGCCGTTAATTAGAACGGGATCTAATCGATGATCCCGAGCCGTCATAACAGCCGTAACCCGAGCCATTTCCTACCGACGGCCGGAATCGTGCCGTAACGACCGTCTCGCGGCTTAAAAGGCAATTTCGATCGTTTTTGCCCGGCGTAATTTAACAGATTACTCCCGGCCGTTCGCCGGGCTGCGGCCAAGCAATCATCGCTATCCTGACTACGCGATCCGCATACGATCGCTGGAAAATCGAGACCGCTGCTCATTCATTACGACCCGCCCCCTTCCATCTCGAGCGGCGTTCGATGCGCTCGTTGCTTCCGACGCCGATTGCCTCGTTCCACGATCGTCGCTGTCGCGACGCGAATTCTCCGAAGGAAATCTATGAACCTACCGTTCGCTGGACGAGTCTTTTCGCCGTTGTATCGTCCGACGAAAGAGCGAACGATTGGATACACGGAAGACGTCTAGAGCGGCGTACAAAGGGGTTCTCGAAGGAAACGCCATTCGAAAGGCCTCGGAGAGGAGATAGTCGCACCGTTGAAAAGTGAGATCCTTCGCGCGTCGCCCGTCGCTTTCGAGCCGCGGAATGGAAAAAATCCGGTCCACCCTCGAGCGAAGTTTGGTCGGCGCGGTGATACGGTGTCGGGCGAACGCGTCCGCGTTGTACCTCGCGTTCGGGCGCGAGGTGTTCGCGCGTCACACACCGCCGTGACGTTACACGCGCGAATGCGAACGGCATCAACGAAATGCATTAGCCGGTACACACGTACCGAACACCGCAGCTGTACGTGTGAGCACATGCTTTGCATAGAGATGAGTTTCGGGATTAAAAATGTAACGCGCTGGCTGCACCCGGCCGGAGGTGGGGCCAATCGTGCCTCCTCTTTTTCTACTTAATCTACGAAACCGCTCGTAAGGAACCCTTGAACCGGACGTTTAATATCTGCGCCCATTCTTTCGGCTGGCGTTTATTCGATATCTTGCCTGGCGCGGACTGAATTAGAGTTTGAATAAAATCGAGCGATTCACGCGCGCCGGCAGGCGGATCTCTCGTCGAGAGATCCATTCTTCCGCGCGATTATTATTCCGCATTGTACCGCGTGAATCGGGAGGAAAATAAACATAGGATCAACGGAGAGTCTCGCATCGTTTATCTATTCTACGCTCGCGTTTCCTTTATTGAAACCCATTCAACGACCGAACGCGGCCGCATCGAATGCTAACGATGTTGTATTAATCGAATAAAGGATTGCTTTATCGTCCTGCACGCGTAACCGATGGCGGAGCAACTTCGCGGAACGAGGCGGGTTGTAATGCCGATGCGGTGCTCGAGGTCAGTCAACGGACCGCTCGAAACTCGGGGTCGGTTGATAATTGCGTAACTAGAATAATCGCAAGTTGCTTTTCGACGCGTTTAATTCGCGAGGGGATCGAGCCGGCTTCCCCCTCGCTCCTTCAGCTACCCCGGTTGCCGGCACTGTAAACACGCCGCTCTCGTACAATTTCGTTCCCCAAGCGTTTACATAGAATTTACGAATTAATTCTACTCCGCGGAACGTTCCGCGTCGGCCGGTTATGAGAGGAACGTTCGCCGTCGCTCGTTCTTTAGGATTTCGGGCTAAGAAACGAACGATTCGACGAGCGGCCGAGTCTCCGCGCGGAATCGTTTATTCGGGAAGTGATCGAGAATTTTTGGCGCGTTTCGTTCCAGAACAATGCTTACGGGCCTGGTAAGGGCCTGGTTTCGCGACAGGCTCGGGGAACGTTAACTCTTCGCACTATGGAGACGCCTCTCAGTCAGCAATCGACTTAACACAGCAAATTGTAAAGCTTAACCCTTTGCACTCCGAATTTCTTTTGCAGTTTTTCCTCGACAACTCTGTATTATTACGATATTTTGTTTGAAATGCATTTTAACTCAATTGACGGTTATTTACTGTAGTCTGTTCTATCGTATCTTGAGAAATTGACATTCTTTCATTTAGATCTTGGAAATTAGAAGTTTGAAAGACAATTAGGATGCATATTAACGTATCTACATAATCAAAATCGACCCAAACGTTTATCAAGCGATGTTTATAAAATTCAATGAGTCACATTGACTCGTTCCGTAAATCTAGTGTTAAAAAATAATTTGTAGAGAGTAGTGTAAACGATTCTTCCTAATAATATTGAGAATAACATAGTAATATAATCTACTTTAAAAATATCTACAAAGAATCACATCTGTGAATAAAACTGATGTCGAGTCAAAGGGTTAATATCATTGAATAATCCGCAATATCTTATAACGTATTTCGGAATGGTTCGCGTGAGAAGCCGGCGCGTTTCAAGAGCGCGCGAGTGGATTGGTCTCGAGCGAGCCGAAAGGTTCGAGGTCGCCGGCGAATCGGGTAGGAGCACTTACGGTCCTATTTCCCAGGTTCTTCACTTTGCAGACGAGCTGAATGGTCGTTCCGACGAGGCCCGTCACGTTCGACGGGATCGTCGTGTCGAAGTACGGCTCGTTGTCCGGCGCCCGGCGGGTTTCGAAGGTGTCCGCCTCGAACAATCGATTACTGTGCACAGCTTCCTCTGAAAACGAAGAAAAAGAAGAGTCGAGTCATTCGCTTAGCTACACGCCGCGCGATAAATCCCCGGGGAATGCGTTTGATAAGCGATCGCCCCGTGGAATCTTTGTCGCGTCGCGTCCTTTCACCGGTCGCGAGCCGACGAGCGCCGAGCTTTGCGAAGCGGATCCGCGAAATAGTCCCGGCGACGTTCCTCCGTGCAAGCGCCGCGGCCTTTTTATTTATCGCGCGTATTTCGCGCCGTTAAAAGCCTTCTCCTTTTCATCTCGCGCGAAAATTTTGTATTCCCTCTTCCTCCTCCTCACCCTCCCTCTGTCTCTCTCTCTCTCGTGCGCGCGGCGGTCTCCCTCGTTTTTTTCATCACGGCCTGTAATTACACACGGTGCGGTAAACGGTACTGCATGACCCCCGGACGGGTGAGAAATAATTTTCTCGCTGTGCCGCTAGACGCATTTATTAAAATTATACCGTGCAAAAGGAAAGTATAGAGCGATCGTGTACTTTGAGCCGTGTACACGGCTGTACCGGTGGCACGGTGCTCGAACAACGTTGTCAGGAAGCTGTTCCGTCGCTTAGGAAAATATTTGCCGCGTTGAAATCGATAACTTCGTTCTACGAAATTAAGGTCGAGGTTTCGTCACGCCCTCATAAATTTCACAATTTCAGGCGAATTTTACGAGCTCAATCGAGCACTCTGTACACGCTGAGTTAATAGTCTGAGCTAATAATATCGTTGCATAATATATTGTTTAATCTCTCCCTCTCGTAACAATTCTCTCCGTTCGGATTCCATCGGGAACCGTTCTTTCTCTTTCCCTGTTCCTCTCTCTCTCTCTCTACTCTGGAAAACCGACGTTCGTTCCACTGGACTTTGATAGATTCCCGATTCCTACGCACGTCGGAGAGCACCGACCGATCAGAGAACAAACAGGCTCGGCTCCGCGTTCGATAAAGTCAATTACAAGCGTAATCGCGCATTCGTTCGCGCGGGTTCGGACAACGCCGAGTTTATTCGAGGAATTTCGATCGGTTCGGAACGCATCGATGTCCGGGCTCGGCTCTCGCGGCGCGGAGCGGAAGTACACGATGAAACGACAGGCGCATAACTATCCAGCTGCCTCCGCCTGTAGTCCTGCACTGCGGCAAATACGATCGCGTTCGCGCGAGTGGGTGTAACGAGATACGTTTACACTGCTGCAACAAGCCGCGCGTACCGCGCGCGTCGTTCTTTTGCCATTCATTCCGGGTCGGATCGCGCGGAAGATACTTGACGTAGATCCGATGAAAAGAAGCGCGGATCGATCGCGCCCCATTGTCCGAGCCGATCGGAGATCAGCTTTTAACCCTTCGCGTTCCCGAGCCACTTTAAGCTCCTCTTATTTTCCCTCGATTCGAGCGTAATAAATAAATGAATTCATCGCGGACGGCGGAATCAAAGGGAATTCAGCCGTGTTCCCGGGTAATTCTTCATTCCCCTCTTTGTGCATCCACGGAGCCTGTAATTTGCGGAAGAACCAACGGCGAACGGAAACATCGCGTCAAAAGTGCCTTCCCATCTCGAAGTTACGCGGGGCAAATATCCTTTGAGAGGGAGACGCGTTCAAAGCGGATACCGCGTTAATGAAGTCGGATACTCGTGGAAGCATTAAATTATCCGGATACGACGCGGCGCGGGGAGCCCCGGCCAGTGACGTTTCTCAAACGAGCCTCTCGCAATTTCAATTCGACGAAACAAAGAACCGCGGAACAGATTTTTAAATACGCTTTTTCCCCCGCGACGGGCCGGCCTTCCTGGCGGAGGCTTTCAGCGCGAGCGTATTTCCCATTTGGCGGTTCCTCCGCGGAATTGGCCCGTCCGTGGCTCGCGCGAAATATTCCCGGGCTACGTGCTCGCGACAGCCCCGGGGATTAACCGTTTCCAAACGCCTATAAAGTATCTCTGGTTTCTGATCGCGGCGACGCGATACACGGCCCGATTTAACCGAGGAAATATTGCCTCTGCGACGAATTAATCGATCATGAAACGACGAATATTACGATTCGCCCGGCAAACCAGTCGCTCCGTCCCGAAAACAAACTTTCCCGCTCAACCGGCCGCCGCACTGTGTGTAGCTAAGTACTTCCTGCTGTACAAAATGATTTTCGTATGATAAATCAAAATTGAATGCGGGTAAATTCTATTTTTCTGTTTATATGACGTTGCAATCGAAGCATAAAACATCCGTTGTTATTGAACGAACATAGAAAATTTCAATATTTCAACACATAAAAAAAAACATTTTTGACATAGAAAAATTAGAGAAACTCAGATATCATATCGTTATGTTATATATTTTAAATAGATAACCGATTCGAATGAAATTTTATATTTTTTCAATGCTGTGGTAATTAGCAAAGTAGCATAATTAAGTGTCTTTATATAAAACCGAGATTTCTCGTCACCAGTACATAATGTGTTAACAATTAACGAAATGACCTACTCCTTCGTGCAATGATTAAAAAGATAACAGCTGTTTCTCCGAGAAATTCTTAAAGAAATCGATTCAGCAATACGCAAACTGAATTGTAGATCAATCAAAGTCTCGATAAACGCACCCTTAAAGTTGCTATACAGGAATTCCAAAAGGTCAATTTAATTACTCGGTAGGTTTAGTGTTAAGTTACCGAGTGTTCTCCAAAAACCGGCCATTTGTACGCACCGTGCATCACCGTGGTTTTCCCTTTTCGACTTTCCCTTCGTGTCCAGTTTCGCGCTTCTAGCGCGGCCGCGATGAACAGCGCCGTTTTAACGAATTAATTAGACTCGCTCGTACACGTTATTTAATGTTTCACGTATCATTTCCACCTGAAAGTTTCCAACTGCACGTGCAAAAGCGAGCACGCGAAGCAGCTCCCCGTGCTCGCGCCCCAAATCGGCAACGGACGTTTCGAAAGTCGCGGAACCGCCGACGAAACCCGCGGCAACGCGAATTTTCGCGCGAGGAAGCTTTCCGCTGTTCCTGCGAGCTTAACCGCTTGGCCTATGATTTCTTTCTCACCTTTGATCTATACGGCTACTTTGTTATTAATAGTTTATTGGAAACAGAGGAAAATTCTAAGCATATGCCTACATTTCCTTTTAGATATAATAGTTGATTACAGAGGAATAATATTTACTTCGAATTCGAATGAACTGAGTAATATATATGTTGAAAATCTTCGCCACGAGTCTCACTCGTTGTTGCAGAGCAAGGGGTTAACTCGCCGAGCAGAAGTTACGCGTTAACCAGTGAACTGTGGAATTTACTTGGAGAAATCTCTCGCTCTGCGCGCAATAAAATCGAAGAATGGAGCGTGTACTCGTCGAACGCAGGACGAACGCGCGCAGAGTATATTTTAATGAAAGATCAAAGCGAAACGAAGAAGAATTACATGTTTATGTGAAAAAATAAAGAATTCGTAAAGAATCAGTATCATGGCTTTACGATAACGTGTATACTCGTGAAACACCGTTAACTGGTTACAGGAGACGGTCTAGTCGTTGGTACTTGGAATGTCTTTCGCCCGCGACGAATAATTGAATATTTCACGACGGGTTCGACGATTACGGCGACACCTTGCCGGATTTAATGGAGCCCGTCAAAAAGGGTTATAGCGCGTTCGCGCCGCCACTGGAGACGGGACAGGTAAATTGCCAGGCTAAGGGGCCAGGGTTTCGAATATGTATCTTGGAAATTGCATCGGGAGACGCTCGGGTCCCCTCGATGCGCGTTTATCACGCGAGAAAGACCAGGGGCGGACAAGAGGGGCGAAGTAACGCGCGCCCCTTTAAGATATTTACTGTAATAAGCTCGCCGAGGCCTCCGCTCCGGATAGGACTGCGACTCGCAAATTACTCCTCCCTCATTGTCCCCTCTCTTCCACCGGCTAACCTCACGGTTTTTACAACTTCAATTATTCCCGCCGTTTCCACTACGTTGGAAACTGAAGTACCGTCAGTTGCTGGGAACCTGGCACTCGTAACATTATAGGGGCGGATACAGTCGCCTCGAGAAATCCAGTGAGTCGAGAAACGGCTCTCCCCACTCTTCGTCGCGCGACGAGTAGTGTGCGAGAGCGCCTCGTCCAATCGTATAGCAGAACTAGGGACTTGATGGAGGCGTGCATCTTGGAAACTGACCACTCAGACTGGAGTGCCAACTTCGGTGCGGTATAGTCTGGAAAAGTATTTTCCACAGGGTCCATTCGTGGAACCAAAGGTTGGAACCACTAGCGGTTTTTGTCGCAGCTACAGGTTCATCGAATATTTTCAATCGAGCGCTGTTTTCCTTTAACCGTTTGCCAGAGGTGTTTATGTTCTGATGCGAGAAGATCCAAGCAACGCGACAGCGCTTGTCTTAACACTAGGTTTACGGGCATTTATTGTACACTTCGTTCTATTATTCCTAAAATCGATGCTCGTTTATTTAGATTGAAACTGGAGATTCGATATAGTAGGTAATTGAGGTACATGTCAGTGTGATCAATCAAAATCGGCGTAAACATTTACAAAATAATATTTCTAAAATCCCATATGCGTCAATTTGACGCGTTCTGTAAACCTAGTGTTAATCTATGTTAATACTATTACATGTATATATTAATTTATAACAGGTAACAATGAAATACAAAATGTATTACTCGGATTACTTATATACAAGAAAAGTAGCGACGCGACGTGCATGCGTCCGAAAAGTTGAGCGCGTTCCGCCAGATTCTGAGCGCGCCGTCAGTTGTCCGTATCGTTCATATGCGCTGGGGGTTTTCGACGTGAAATCCGAAGAGCGCGAAAACGGCGCGTGGGATTCAAACGGCTAAAAGGTGGTCGGGGCAACAGATTCTTTGGCAGTCCGCGCAGTCGGCAAAATTATACGCTGCGATCACGTTCTCCGTTCACCGCACGCCTATCGAGAGTGCTCGTGGAACGCCGATGATCGGCGCACTTATGAAGCGAACTCCCGATCGTTGGGATAATGGCCGAACGTG